CTCCCGATTGCATTGCGAGTCCACTCTCCTGACAGCTTAATATCAGATATATGACACGTGTTGGTGGAGAGTCACGGTGGGGGGGGGGGGTGGGGAATATATAAATATCTATCATCAAAACCTTTTTGCCAAGTCGTATTCATCGGATTTGGTTTGCAATTTCCAAGACGTTCTACGAGGGAACATAAAACGTCGTTCTTTTGGCAGCAGATGGAATCCAAACGTGAAACAGGAGGCATGCAGGGTTGTTTATATTAATCCGGAGTGTTTTTATCGCAGACAGCACCACAAAGCTTACATGTTTCGTGATACCTTGCTCAAACCAGGAGTGCAAGATGGTGGAAACTCTCTCCTCCAACGTAAAAGGAGCTTCCACTGGACACAAATGGTTTCTGCCCACGTCGAATGTCTGGCGAAGTTGGAAATTGCTTCCCAAAAGCTCAGCGCAGCAGCGGCAGCAAAATAGCAGGAAAAGAGGTGCAGAAGGAGGAGCTGATGCGTGTGGAGATGCACTCATGTTTCACGTAATCGAATTGCTGAAAGTATTTGCAGGTTGTCCACGGTTGTGTGGAAGAAAACCCACATCACCAGTCACGTTAAGGTGTGGCCCATGACCAATCCCTGTCGACCCAACCTCTACCATTCTCATCGCCTTTCATGACCCAATGTGGCCAAGGCAAAAGCCACTTAGCATATGGCAGAAGCCTCTGGTATATCCACTTTTCTCGCGTGATTTGCTGGCCGTTTAGTTAACGACTGTCCTCTTGAATAATTAAATGCGTCTGATAGGAGAACAATGAGTCTTTAATTGTTTTAATGCAGTTTTTTTCACCGCTTTTTTTTTAAATAAAAGAGACGAATGAGGCTTCATCTCACGATTGGAATCTAGCATTTCGGTGGAAGCATCTAGAAAACGGGTTTGAACTCATTTTGTTTCCTCAGCGAGTTCCACATCCTCTATTTGTGCACGGTTAATGCACCTGATCCAGAAGCCTGCCTACCACGTGTTCTTGCTGCAGGGGGTAGTGGCTACTTTGTCGGTGTGTGACCTGGAACATTCTCGCCTATGCTAAATGTCCCATGCGTCAACACTCTCGCGCTCGTAAGAACCGTACACATACTTGCACATGCTCTATACACGTACATTATATAATTATATTACAGAAAAGCACAACCGGCATATACACACACACATGGGGGTGGAGTGGCGGAGCAGTGGTTAGCTCACTGTGGATGAACCCACCCACCTGAGTTCGATTCCCAGCCATAGCTAACCTCGTGGCGAGTGCCCTTGGCCCGTGTTATAAACCAACACTAACCAGCATGGTGAAGTATGGTCAAACAACACTCACAACAATATGGCATGGTGAAGCAGTCACCCAGCAGTGGATTGACAAAGGACAAAAACATATCTACATATATTAACACATAGAGTGAGGGAAAAAAATTTTTGATCCCCTGCTGCGTTTGCACGTTTGCCACCTGACAAAGAAATGATCAGCCTATAATTTTAATGGTAGGTTTATTTGAACAGTGAGAGACAGAATAACAACAACAAAATCCAGAAAACGCATGTCAAAAATGTTATAAATTGATTTGCTTTTTAATGAGGGAAATAAGTATTTGACCCCCTCTCTATCAGAGAGATGTGCTCCTAATCTCAGCTCGTTACCTGTATACAAGACACCTGTCCACAGAAGCAATCAATCAATCAGATTCCAAACTCTCCACCATGGCCAAGACCAAAGAGCTCTCCAAGGATGTCAGGGACAAGATTGTAGACCTACACGAGGCTGGAATGGGCTTCAAGACCATTGCCAAGCAGCTTGGTGAGAAGGTGACAACAGTTGGTGTGATTATTCGCAAATGGAAGAAACACAAAAAAACTGTCAAACTCCCTCAGCCTGGGGCTCCATGCAAGATCTCACCTCGTGGAGTTGCAATGATCATGACAACTGTGAGGAATCAGTCCAGAACTACACGGGAGGATCTTATCAATGATCTCAAGGCAGCTGAGACCATAGTCACCAAGAAAACAATTGGTAACACACTACGCCGTGAAGGACTGAAATCCTGTAGCGCCCGCAAGGTCCCCCTGCTCAAGAAAGCACATATACATGCCCGTCTGAAGTTTGCCAATGAACATCTGAATGATTCAGAGGACAATTGGGTGAAAGTGTTGTGGTCAGATGAGACCAAAATGGAGCTCTTTGGCATCAACTCAACCCGCCGTGTTTGGAGGAGGAGGAATGCTGCCTATTACCCCAAGAACACCATCCCCACCGTCAAATATGGAGGTGGAAACATTATGCTTTGGGGGTGTTTTTCTGCTAAGGGGACAGGACAACTTCACCGCATCAAAGGGACGATGGACGGGGCCATGTACCATCAAATCTTGGGTGAGAACCTCCTTCCCTCAGCCAGGGCATTGAAAATGGGTCGTGGATGGGTATTCCAGCATGACAATGACCCAAAAACACACGGCCAAGGCAACAAAGGAGTAGCTCAAGAAGAAGCACATTAAGGTCCTGGAGTGGCCTAGCCAGTCTCCAGACCTTAATCCCATAGAAAATCTGTGGAGGGAGCTGAAGGTTCGAGTTGCCAAACGTCAGCCTCGAAACCTTAATGACTTGGAGAAGATCTGAGATGTGTGCAAACCTGGTGGCCAACTACAAGAAACGTCTGACTTGTGTGATTGCCAACAAGGGTTTTGCCACCAAGTACTAAGTCATGTTTTGCAGAGGGGTCAAAAACTTATTTCCCTCATTAAAATGCAAATCAATTTATAACATTTTTGACATGCGTTTTTTTAGATTTTTTTGTTGTTATTCTGTCTCTCACTGTTCAAATAAACCTACCATTAAAATTATAGACTGATCATTTCTTTGTCAGTGGGAAAAACGTACAAAATCAGCAGGGGATCAAATATTTATTTCCCTCACTGTATGCACACACATGACCTGCATCATCGTCAGCCATGTTTAATTCACTGCTGGATGAAGGCCTCTCCCCAAGCTGCCACCACCTCTCATCCGTCGAGCACCTGCACGGGAGCCGACGTCATCGCTCCATCTCCGCGGTTTTCCGTCCTCACGGTGGACATCCACGTGCGCGTGCACAGTGCGCACGCACATTAACGCGTGTGCACAGACTGGCCGTGCAACGAGATACGTAACGCCGTGGTGGCGAGATGTTATCCCCCTCGCCTGGTACGCAGGAAGCCGTGGCGTTTCGATCCCGACCCTGACGCCTGTGCTGTATACTTGGAGTTTGCGTGTTCTCTCTCTCTCACTCTCCACGTGGTCGCGTGGAGTTTTCTCCCTCCACATTTAGAAACGTGCGTTTGGAGTATTTGGCTGCCATACATTGCCACGTGATAATAAGCCACTTCTCGTTGAGCCTATCATTTGCGGTCACTTCTTGAACTAAAAAAAAAACCCAGCTATATAGCTCAGTGGGCTTTACCTGGTAAAATAACAAAAAAAATGTTGTTCATTTTTTAGTTGATATGCCGCATCCCGTCATGCAAGTGGGATGAAAGTCTGGGCATCTGTCAACTCCCTTATCTCGTCAGAGCATTGTGGACGTCCTTTGTCTTCGCGTCATGGCAGGCGTCTTGGTCTCCCGAGGATAGATCAAAGTCCTCCTATCTGCAGACCCCCACGAAAAATCTGATGAATTCATCACCCACCATTGCCACTTTTGGGCGATTCCCTTTACCCGCGTAAGCATCTCAAATTTATGGAGAAAACTCAACCCATGGACAAGGACACGTTTGTTTTGCAGATCAGTCCAAAGGCTGTGAATAATATAGGTGATTGGGTAACAGGGCCATTGAAGCTGCGATTTCGAGGCAATACATTACAGTGTTTGGTCATGTTGAACTTCTTTTTCACCGTACGTAGCCAACCGTGCTAATTGGAGGTGCATTGTGAGTTAGCCACCATTATGTGCAGCAAGTGTTGTCTGAGTGGAATTCTGCTGGTGCGTGCGCACGGGCACAGCCTGTAGCGAAGGCCTCATTTGGGGTGCTGTGACGGCTACGTAGTGTCAACCTGGACTCTTACCGTGATTGTATTGTATAACTTGGCGTCCGTGCAGCATGGGAAGGCCCTTCATCAAGCAGTGGATTGAGTAACGAGTGTACGTGTACATGGCACATTGACACGTGGGTATTTTCTATCATGCAGGCAATTACACGGACAAGTGAAATTAGCATGGGCATATTACTCGTCAGATACTTGTCAAGTAACACTGCCAATGGATCGACTTTGAAGAATGCGTTTAGTATGACACTCACTAAAAAATATTGTAATGCCCAATGAGCAACTTCAATACGTGTCATTTGATCCATATTTACAGCATGGACTGTCTTTACCAATAATTACATGGACACTTTTAAAAAATGGTGTTCTGTCAATCGAATGTTACGTTCATGCCATTTGGAAAAATGAAAAGTACTGGAAATTCTTACATTTGTAGGGCAAACAAATATCGTCTCCAACATTTAAAACGAAAACAAAAATAAGCTCAATCTACTCACCCTGATATCTGCAATTGTCACGGGTATTTTTGAACATGTTTTGCTGGACTTCCATTGACATCGTAACCCATCACCCCAATTGCATTTGATTTAAAGTTCAATTATGTTCCATACATCTTCAGCTTGAGGGGCACAGATCATGGTCGGTACCTCCGATCAGCATGGTCGGCTACGTACGGTGCAAAACGAAGTTCAACATACTTACGTCACAATTTCAAGATTGACGAACAACAATTCTTCCCTACTAATTATGCTTTACATTATAATAAACTTTTCCTGCAAGGCATGTGCTTCTTGATAATACAACGATGACAAGATTATTGCAACGTTATTCTGGAGCGAATGCAACGTTCGTGGTTGCATAGTCGCTACGGTTGAGCTGCGTGACCCGTTTTTTGTATCCTTTCCCACTTGTAAGTCTACGCCTCCCATGCCCTGCCTTGTTGGTGCCCTGCAGGTGAGAAGCCCTACAAGTGTTCGTGGGAGGGGTGCGAGTGGCGCTTCGCGCGGAGCGACGAGCTGACGCGCCACTACCGCAAGCACACGGGCTCCAAGCCGTTCAAGTGCGCGCACTGCGACAGGTGAGACGGGACCGGAGCCCGCCCGCCCGCCCGCGCACGAACACGCACACCTTTACAGAGGGCGGCGCCCTTGTTTTAACTTCGTCGAAACGGAAGCAAAAAAAACCGACGTATGCCAAATCGTGTGCGCGTATGCGCGAGTCGACACAAAACAAAATAGCCTCAGCTAAACGATGTTTGTTCATTATACCAGGTAAAGCCCACTGAGATATGTAGCTCCTTTTCGGAAGTGACCTGGTCACAAATGATAGCTCAACGAAGTGGCTTATCACGTGGAAATTGATGTTGATGGAAGGAAAAACAGGGGGACGCAGAGAAAAATCCACGTGACCTCGAAGATAGACTTTTGGGGCAAGTGCTGTTAGCGAGTAGCACCTATGGAAAGCTGGCACGGCACACGAATGGGTGGCTGGCCAGAGCCACGCCCGGCCGGCTTTTGTCTGACAATGTTTACCCACTGCACCAGGTACTCATTTAAGGCTGAGTCAACCTAGGGGAGGCCCAGGACCGGTTAAAATAATCGTTACTGGTGTTGGCCGTGAGCAGGAATCAAACTCGAGTCAGCGGGTTTGTAATGCAGTGCGCTAACTGCGACACTACTGCTCCCCACACGCATCGACACAGACAAAGATACAAAGATCTTTGTCTGTGTCGACACAGACACACACACAGGCACATACACATACACCGATTTAACATTGCAACACATACAAATACATACACAGCGCACGTGCACGCATTCTTCGTTCCACACATGGCAACAAATTGCATTCAAATTCGTCTGTATATTTTTATCCATCGTTTTCAATATGTTCTGGGGAGCGGCGAAGTGTAGGGATCATCATAACAGCATTGCACCTTTGATTAGCACGGTTGGCTACATATGGTGCGAAAGAAGTTCAAAATAATAACATACGCTCCCAACACACATACACATCTTTGGTCACAGCATCAGGTTCACCGATCAGTTATCTCGATGTCATCCAAGATTCAACTTTATCCTTCGACCGTCAAACCAATCATATCATCAGTTCATGTAACTTTCACCTGAAGGCTCTCAGACACCTACGTCCTCTCATCTCCACTGAAACTGCCGCCACATTGGCATGTTGCATAGTTGGGTCTCGCCTCGACTATTGCAACTCCGTCCTAGTCCGGTCCTCGTATGACAACCTCAAAAAACTACAAAGACTACAAAACAATGGTGGCACGTGTCGTCATTGGCCGCACTCATCCCAGACTCGACTCGCTTGCCTCTCTCTCCGTGCCCTCCACTGGCTACCCATCGCCAGCAGGGTCACATACAAGATCGCCTGCCTCTGCCACCGCGCCTTCACATCTGCCTGCCCTACCGTACCTCTCTTCATTATTGACGACTTGCAGCACAGCACACACGGCAGATGCCTTCGCAGTGTGACTCACGACCTCCTCTTGATACCAAGATCCAGGATGGTCACGTCTATGCGCCGCTTCTCGGTGGCTGCCCCAACAGTCTGGAACGCAATCCCTCTGCACATTGGCAGCATCACCTCACTCGTCTCCTTCAAGAGACACTTAAAAACGCACCTCGACAACCACGATTTCGAGTGACTCTGAGCCTGGCTCCGCGCCGCTGAGTTGCGGCCGTTATGTCCGCAAATTTGCGTGCGTTATAAATTTCACTATTATTAAAGAAATTCCCATACAGCACGCTCGTGTACTTGCCCAATCCTGGCACAGATGGTTCAAAACCCCAACAAACGAAAGCTGTCTCTGGTGTGGACCAATCAGCTTCAAAGACAATGCATATATTATCAGAGTACTGTATGTTTTTTGTTTGCATTCTGACCATAAGTATTGTGGTTAATGCAGACATGATTCCTTGTCAAAGTTTTAATTTTGGTGTTTAAACATCTTAACACCTGTTTTGCTGCCAGAAAAAAGGGGAAAACCTCTTCTCGTATTTTGGTACTGGCAAAGGAGGTCCCATGATGATAGCCAATACTTTCTAATCCTGAAGAATAAATGAAAGTAACCAATGTGAAGAGTTTTTTAATTAATTGGCCAGCATCAATACAACAGAACGAGGAAAAGGGGAAAACATCTACGAACAAAATGTGAATTCAATGGATAGAGTTAAACACCTACGTACGCTGTCGGCACATGCTACGCATACAGCAAAGGCATGCATTTACCACTATATGACACAGCAAGCAATTAGTTGTGTGTCACTCATCCATGACCCATGACTGGTGCAGCAAATTACATCTAATTTCTACATCCCATCTCTGCTCTTGTATTCCATCCTTTAGGCAGTTCCCTTCCAATGACACCTCATTTTCACCTGCACACTCTTACAGCTACGATGCCTGGCTGAGCTGGTAGGCTAGGTTGTGCACTGACAAGTGAAAGGCTGTGACAAGTATGGCAACTTACATACTTCATTCTGCCTATAATAACCTGCAAGGTAACACACATTCGATCTCAAAGACAAAGGTCTGGCACCCATGATGGGTAAAATACAACCCGGTAAGCTTACGTCGTTTATTTCAGAGACATTTGTCCAAACATTTCCTCTGTTGTTTTTGGAACAATATTAGATCAATATCACCGCAATGCATCTTCTAAGACTGTGGTACAGCATATAAAAGACGAGTTCCTTTCTTTACACAAATGCACATAACGGACCCAGTGCCCATGGTTGCAATGTAATCCGAAGTTAAAAATTCGCAGCACCATTAATGCCAATTAAAATGTTAGCAGTCTGATCTTCCACATTTGCCAAATTCATGTTGTGCGTAAATCTCAGGACAGATCCACAATGTACAGTAGAACCCTTCTTAACGACCACTCCTGTTAACGACTAATCGCTTAACGACGGGCCTCCATAGAGCCCAATGTGTTCACTTACCGACCATTCGCCCGCTAACGACGGGCTTGCTACGAGCACGCGACCGCCAATTTCGGTCAATCGGCGAGCTCCAAAATGGTCTGACCCGGCCTCGGCAAATCAGCGACGTCCATTCATGAGCGTTGGGGCATTGTTTAAATTGCAGTGTCTGCCGCGTTTTAAAGTGGAAGCATCTACTCGCTTAACGACCAAACCACTTAACGACGGTTTTGTGGAACCAATTACTGTCGTTAAGAAGGGTTCTGCTGAATGCGATGCTTTGCTCTCCGTACCGCTCCCTCTCGCGGAGGACCTTTTTGCCAGTAGTGGCATGAGTTTTTTTTTCATTGAGTTATCATATTCTTTCTAGATTTGAAGCTATAAACATTTATGAGCACTGCTTTGTAATAAGTCATCAGTCTTAAAATGGATAAACTGGCCTCTGCCAGAGTAATGTGGAATGTCCACTGCAAGCTCTGCAGAAGGAGACAATTGGATGTTTGCAAAACATTTTACAAAATGATAACCCATACAAACATACCATGTATTCATTATTTCACAATATGACCACAATAACATCAGTTAATGATGATAACCATTCTTCATATTGTCCATGTGCATGATGTATTGACATGTCATTATGCATATCAATATTTTAATGGTCACTAAAAACTTGGCACACAATTTTACGAGAGCATTGACCGTGAATTGCTTTCAAACGTCTTTAAAGATTGATTTTCTTTCACTTGATAGCTCACCCGTAAATTATTATTTAATGTCAAGCATACAAGGCACATAGTGACCAATTTGGTGCTTAAATTAAGATCCCAAAGTATTTCGTTTTTATGGCAAGACCTTAGTGTGAATTCACTTATATATATCTCTACACATTGTACAACATGAATGGCCGCTTCTTTCCATTCACGCAAACAGATGTGATGGCTTGAAGAGGGCCTGGGAGATGGTTGACGTCTGGCTTAAGGGCACAACTATGGAGACCGTGCCACTAAGAGCCGAGTGCACTGCGCTGTGGGAAAGGATTACGCGCGGCAGCCTCATTCGCCGTAAAACTCCCCGGGCCAGAACAGATGGAAACTATCGCGCGTGCCACCGCTATTTGCCAAGACGTACGCTGGCTTGCTCGAGCGCACGCGGCGGATACAGCGGGGCGAAGCCTCTGCAAAGTTGACCGCACATGGCAACAGTGGAAGTTTTACTCTTTCCACACTAACCTTCATCGGGATTATTGTAATCGTGGCTTTTTTTTTTTAATTCAATATTGGGAAAGGAGTGAAACGAAGAAAACGTAACTTTGTTTAACTAATTCCTCGAGCAACACACGAGGGCAATTACTGGTACCGCTGTCAAAGGAACCAATTACACTGGAAAGCAATGCTGCAAGCGACGAACACAGCTGTTCGCTGTTTGCTTCTTGTGATGCGTTTTAAAGGCTAATGTGAATTCCATTTGACTGTGCTTTCATTATTCTTGCTAATGACCTGTTGCAACCATGCCTCTTTGACACCTAATCCCTGCGAATTCTGCCCTATTTAATATCAGCTTATTTTAAGGGCTAAGCTTGTGCCATTTTCCTCCGCTTAATGCATCCAGCAACGCATTACATTACCATACACAATTAAGTCAAATGTATCTTATTTAACCGTGTTGACCAATTTCATCGTACTGCCCCGTGTAATGAAATAACATAAACTAAATATGTTCAAAGTCAATTTTGTTTATGCACGTTGAAATGTATTTTAACTCCTCCTGTTATGGACTGAATTGGATTAAAGACTGTTTACGTTTCCATAAACCCATTACGCATAATATGAATTTGATTAATTGAAGGCATCAGAGTGATTATGCAAGAATTCGAATTGTTCCCTTGAACTTTAGCTCTACAGATGAAGGCATTCCATTACATACACCGGTGATCACACAATGCTCTAACTTTTTTTCCTGTGTGGCAAATTGAAATCTCGGGAAAATGTGAGACAAGAGTGATAGGGAAATTTCCTTTAACGCTCGGGGCTTCCCCAAGAGCCCAGTGGCCAATGTGCTTAGCCCGGAGAATGGCAGGAAGTGTATGGAAGGAAACGGCCCCTGTGGGAGGTGCCCGCTAACTCGGCAC